TGAATATGATGGAATGATAGTTGAGTGAACTAAGAATATGGAGATAAAATATACTTTGCTTCATGTAGAGAATTCATGAATGGGTAAAAGTGATATTTTGATATTGGGAAGTAATTATATTTGAATTGGAAGATAAATTGAAATACACTATGTGTCTATGGGTTAAGAACTTGGTTGTTCAAAATTTATTCAACTAGTATTGAAATACTAGCCGAGATGTTAATATGAGGAACAATAGATTAATCCAATGAGTTGGGTTGTGAGGAAATTATACCTTGAGTAGTCCTAAGAGATACTTTAATATCGAGACGTGTAAGCTCTAAGTATAATAGGAGTAGGCCCTAAAGGCTACTCAATCTAAACCGATTCTAGGCATAGGAATTGCTTAGGGGTTGATTAACGTGACTAAGAGCGGGGCTCTAGCATGTTGAAATGATGACCAAGAGCGGGGCTCTAGCATGTAGGGATGGTGACTAAGAGCGGGGCTCTAGCATAATGTAGATGGACTAAGAGCGGGGCTCTGGCCAATGTAAGTTAACTAAGAGCGGGGCTCTAGTATACTGTAGATGGACTAAGAGCGGGGCTCTAGCCAATGTAAATTAACTAAGAGCGGGGCTCTAGTATGATGTAAACGGACTAAGAGCGGGGCTCTATCCAATGTAGACAAATTAGGAGCGGGGCTCTAGTATGATGTAGGGAGACTAGGAGCAAGGCTCTAGCACGATGTAGGGAGACTAAGAGCATGGCTCTAGCATGATCCAATAGTATAACCGGGCGAGGCTCGGTGATGTTTATGCCATGTATAGGGAAATGCCCAAATGACTATGAGTAAATTTACCAGAGGTTTATGACATTCGTGACAAATAGTCACGGGGGGAAAAGGGGGATGGACTTACAAAATGCATACGGGTCTTCGGGCCGACTACTTGACTTTATATAAAGTAAGTATATTTTCAAAGAGGGTAACCACGGGTTACGACCTATATTATTATATCACCCTATTTGAGGGTCTTGGAAATTGAAACATTGATTATACTTAGTATAGTTGTCATTGTACTTGTCAAATGCTTCCAAGTACTGACCTCCCCTTCACGGGGGAGGCCACCTCACAGTTTCAGGTAGGAGTTGAGCTTGCTACCGGTGCCCGTTGTTTCGGGAAGATTCAGGAGGGAAGACGTGGTTCGTGCTTCCTCCGCCTCTGTTTTTTTTTAAAACATTTAAAATCGATGCTCATGGATATTATTTTGAATAATTATTTGGGGCTTGTATGCCCATGTTTGCCGAAGTGTGGCGTAAACACTTGTATTAAACGTTTCCGCTGATTTAAATGATTATTTTACATTATGTTCGTTTATGGATGTACTATTGTGAATGATATTCAAGACGCCTTGTATAGTATGGATGAGTTGGACTGCGGTTGACTATTCGTACTGTACGGCGGGTTGTTGACGTGTCCGGTGGGTCCGGGGCGTGACAAGGAGCAATAGAGAAAATGATAGATTTATTACTAAATTAATAAAGAATCAGATGCGAAAACTAAAAAACAAAATAAGATAAAGAAATGAAACCAAAAAAGTCATAAATTTACCTATATGTTTCGAAGTAAGAAGAGGTAACAATATACAGTCACCTTATAGAGATGAGAATGAAGAAGAAGAGAAGATGTGCAGAACTGCAGACTGCAGAGCCTGGATCAGACAGTGTGCGGTGGCGGGCGCAACTTGGTAATTGACCACAACAGTGAACAAAAGTAACCAGAGCAAGCTAAAAAGGAATGTGAGAAGCGGAACACACACAATTTTCTTAGCAAGCTGAAATTAAGTAATTAGGGGGGAAATGTATGCACAGAAGCAGGGGGGAATAGGAATACATTAGGAATGAAAGAAAAAGAAGAAAATCAAAAGGGAATGAGACCAAGGCCTGCATATAAAACCATCATGTTGTAACAATAGAAAGTTGGGCTAAACAGACCGGGGTGAGATAGAGCAACAAAAAGTCCGCCCAACATTTGAACAGGTGAGAGAATAAGAACATAGCAGGAGTACTGTGTAAATGCGAAGAGTTTTTCTTAAACTTGATGTCGGAGTTCTATTCTTCCAATGCCTTCAATTTACCACTCAAAGCATAGTAAAAAAACTCATAGTAAAAACCACGATTAAATTGAACAAATAGGTAGACCAGGATTGCTTGGAGCAAAGCCTTGTAAACTTTTGGGGAAGACTAAAACAAACAGGATAAGACCATCTCCATCCCCAGTTGGAAACACACACCCGTAATACACGGGTCCAAAATGTCAGAGCAAAACAAGGCAATCAACGCAAACAGACATCTTTGCTAGCATGTAATTAATCAAACAACTGTTGGATTAAAGGACTCACAAAAATAACAGGGGGACAAAGTGCAGCAGCTCAATAAACCTTCAAGTACCAATTAGACGGCAGCCTGCAAATGTGCATAAACATATCATATGGAAACACACAATTAATATGAAGATGCGATGAAGTACTCTCAAAGCCTCAAAGTTCATTAAAAAAAAGAAATACGATAAAAAATGGTTTATAAAATGATTATAGTTGAAGATGAAACTACACAAGACCATGGCAGCGAATCATTAGAGTGGAAACTGGATACAATTATTTCTTGGAGAATCCAACTAAAGGTTCGTCACAATTTCAGTTTAGAGGTGTACATTTAATTAGATAGTAGCGAATCATTCTCTCAGAGAATCATTTCACTTTTAATCTATGAGATGATACTCATGACAGAGTTGTCATTTTTAGAGAATCAATTTACTTTAATCTGTCATCATGCTTTGCAGCAGAATATGGAACCTAGGGGTGTGGATTCTACTCCACATTTATATATTCCTATTTATATATACAACCCTTGAGTCAATGAGAAACTAAATACACAAAGCCTTTTTATAATTACTTACAAATATATCAAGCGAAATTAGCCAGTCCTTGTCTCTCACTAATAACATGAAGAAGAATTATACATGTAGTAAGAATTGCTAGAGTGCCATCAACATGTCGTCTAGTAAGAACTAAAAGGTCCTCCGCATTGATTGTCCTCTAGAGTGCCTAAACAAGTATAATTGACCCATTAAAACATTTTTAAAACCCCTATTTTGTTAATTGGGGAATCAATGATTATTGTAGAATCTCACCTCCACAGCTCTTGGATCAGTCATTTAAGTCGGATTTGGAGAATTAGCTTGTTGACCAACATACATCTGACCAATCATTGTTTCCAAAGCTTCTTATCAAGCATATGTGCTGAAGATCAACCAACCTAGAGTTGTTTTATAAAAAAACAGCCAACGTGAAACCAAATAGAAAGCTAATGTGAATTAACTTTCTAATGTGAAAAGTAAAGAAGCTAATGTGAAAAGTAAAACATTATCCGAACAATAACAACCTTTCATATTTTTGTCGTCTATTTGGTCAGAGGAGTTCTCAGTATACGACGGCAGCGACATCCGGACTCTTGATATGGACATATGATGCACAGGAGAGTACTTCACTGCAGAGTAACTCTCCCTGGAAATGAAACGAATCAGAAAAAAAGAGAAGCAAAATACCATGAGACATATGATGCGCGGAGGAGTAGTTCACTACAGATGAGAACTCTGCCTGGAAATGAAACAAATCACAAAAAAGAGAAATGAAATGGAGTTACTTTTTTCAAAAACAAGAGCAACAATAGTTTCTGATATGTTATCTAGGACTCTGCAACAGATGATTCATTTTCCATTAAAACTTAGCAGCTAGACTCCACAAACCTTAAAATATAATTAACGCATTCAAAATTTACCTGCCACCCCTCCATGGATCTAAGAGACTGTTCGAGAAGATGATGTCACTCCCAAATGTCCCAAGAGCCATTTTTATATCCTTCAAACACGAAAAGTCAACCATGTTTTAATGACAAAGAAAGACGAGATTGTTCACACTGTCAATAATCCAAGTTACCAATACAATTCAAAACGACCATTAGCAGTTTCAAAAGCACTCTAAGCCACAAAATAATTAAGTATAAAGATAGTCATAAAATCGTTATTAGCCTGCCATTTACGATTATTTATTTTTAATAAATGCCTCAAGAATAAGAAGAAAACACAAAATCGTAAAAACCAACCTACTGATCTTTGCAGCTTGAAAGAGAGACTGAAGAGTGAGCTTATACAAAGAAGATGAGGAAAGTAAAGCAAAAAACTTGCCTGTGTGGTTTGAGGTTGAAGGTGAAAAGAGGGCCGCCGTCGCTGTCTTAGTATTCAGCTGAGCCGTGTTGATTTTCGCACAAAATTGTGTCAATTTCAGTTCAGCCGCTCTTTTGTTCTTACCGTGGATATGAAATTAAAACAAATGAAAACAATAACTTATTGTTGAGTGTCTTCAGAAATAAATGACTATTTGTATAGTGTCTTCAGAAAAGCATGTTCCGAGAAACAATCTCACATAGTACGATGGGAAAGCTAGTTAAAATATTACTAAAGTTCTATCGTCATGTTTTCAATCAAACATATTTCACTTAAGCATCTCAATTTGAATGAACCACCAGAGGGGTAAGGAAATATCATGAATAAACAAACATCCTTAAACTATGCATTTCAGCAGCAAACAGTGAAGCACAAATATAAAAAAATTGGAATAACTTTAATTTTCAGTTTTGTACCCTAACTTAGTAACAACACTTTACAGTATAGTACATTATAACTGAAATGATGAACATAAGCTACTCATACAGAAAGTAAAATCACACCATGTATTACCCTTCGTATATAAGTCTTTGTGCTTAAAACTGCTAATGCTTTGACTAACCTGAAATATACAAAAAAAACATCACTTAAAAATATTATTAAGATTTTACGTTTGCTAATTCAAAGACAATTTAGTTTGTTGTTCTTTCAAGTGTATGAGTCAACATACCCTTCCACATAAATGCTAGGAAAATAATATTTTATAAAGAAAGAGATAATAATATAATCCACAGTGAAATAATATACCCAACTTTTACAATTAGAGCTTCATGGAAGCTGAATTAAACACTATTGATGGATAATTGATACCCGTATTGTATAAACAGGAGAGATTGAACAAGAATGGAGAAGATATAAAGAAAGTGTATAGAATGAATGAATATTGGTTATCTCAGTTACAAGCCTCCTATAAGGAGTATATATAGGGAAAATCCGGGTCTGGGCCTCTAATATGGGCCTGACAGACCCGGTTACATAAATGGACTGATAGTATAAAAAGCTAATCTAGAACATCTGAATAATAATATACAATAATAAGAACCCTTAAAACGTGTGTGAGCCGCTGTCCAGGCCCAATAGTCGGCAGACCGGGGGGTCGGAGTCCATATACTCCATCAGGAGTCCCCCACTCCCTGAGTGGAGAGTACTCGAGGTGAAAGGGAGTAGTCCAAACTGTAGCTGCAACGTTCTTCTGTCTTCGGACGGGGGACCACCACCCTTGTCCATTATGGGGAGGTGCCTCGTTAAAAACCTTTACTAGGAAAAAACCCAGTGGGAAAAAATCCTAATAAAGGGAAAAAGAGTACACCTAGCGCCCCCAACATGAAACAAGGAAGGTAAATCCCCTCCGGCGTAATCAATCTAGCTCAGCTCCTCTTCAACTGACTCAGCTCTTGTTCCTGCTCCTGCGTGATATTTTCTGCTCATCTAGAAACTCTGACCCCTCAGTCCCCCAGTCCCCACTCTTTGAGGCGAGTGGAGACGAGGTGAAAATGAGTAAAGTCATCTTCGTACCTACACATTTATCATACATATAATTTTTTTCTTGGGATTTATGTTCCCGATCGGGAGTTCGTCACTTAAAACAAGTGGAGATGTGAATTGTTAATGTAATGATAAAATACTTAGTAGAATGGATGTGTGAGCCATTCGTAAGCAACGGTCGCCACTCGAGGAATGACTAAGACCGGTCTTCGTACCCGACTTGGTCGGGGTTTTGTCTTCATGCCCGACTTGGTCGGGGCTTTGTGCCTGAGGAGTCAGGGCTTTAAATCCTAGTGATGGGTCTCAAGCCACACTCTACTAGGTATTTGATCATAAGTGCATGATAGTGTGCCATTTATCGACAAAAAATATTAATTAAAATAAATAAAAATAATATGAAAGTTAAAGAATACTTATCTTTTTTTTTTAAGTGGGCTAAAATTGCGGCCTGAATAAGAAAGCAGGCTTGTGTAGAATTTGGGTCCTTAATTCTTTATCGCACAACCCCCACCAATAATTTTGACCTAGTCCTTTGTTAGCTTCCTCATTTTGTAACTAGCCAGCCTGACCTGTGACGACCAGGACCCCAAAGTAGCGCACAGCTGCTGCTGTAGATTTGCCCATGGGAGGAGCCCAGCAGTGAGGATAGCAATGGGGAGGCCCTCATACCGTAAAAACCGCGGCGAAGCTTCCTTGGACGGAGACTGGCGCCTTGCTTTGGTGGACCCATCGGCAAAGTAGAAAACGTCTGGAAGCAGCTAGCTAGAGTTCCGGTAGCACTGACGAAGCTTCCTCAGTCCTGCTCTCAACTGATACAGCCTTCAAGTTGGGCCAACAGGGGAGTTCGGATATGCTATTTCTGGAGCTTTTAACTGCCATTAATGGCGGACATTCCAAGTTGAGCTCCAGCAACTTTGGAGGTCTTCATAGGGGTTACCTAGAGCTGCGATGACACCCAGTGCGAAGGCGGAGTAACGGGATGCGAGTGACGAGAGGCGGTGTTGCGCCAGAGATGAAGCAGCGACCTACGTCGCCGGACTGGGTTGGATTTGGCTGCTTCCTCCGGTTAGCTGGGTCCCAGCTTCGAGCTTGGCATAGTCCTCGGGGGCTACAACGGCTTTTGGCCGGAGAAACAACAACTACCAGATTTGCATCTGTGGTGGCAAGATCTGGAGTGGCGGCAGGAGGTCTGGAGTCGGCGGCTACTGTTCCGACTTGGATCTGGAAATATTTCGGATCTGGAAGAGCTGGGTCGCCGCTGCCGACTAGAGAGGGAAGGGCCTCGATTGTCACGCTTGCCCAGTCCTCTGCCACAGTCTCCACCGGATTAGGTGGCGAGAGAGCCCTCGGCAGCTTTGGCCACCAAAAGCGCAGCGGGTTTGACTCACGCGTGGAGTATCGACGGGCTTAACAGTCGGTAAGGTGGAGGAGAAAGGAAGCCATTACCTCCTCGAGACAATTGCGACCATAGAGCCATGGCTGACAGAGACCTAGCTCCGGGTTTGCTGGACCAGCGGCCAGAGTGACGGCTGATTTTAGGGAGTTGCACCTCCAACTGACAGCGCACAGCGGCGGGGATGAACAGTGACGATGGCTCTGTTCAGATCTAGAACATTCTATACTGTGATTTTCCAGATTGATTTTTTTTCTTCGTGATCTGAACACATTTTCGGCCAGAATTTTTGTGATTGAGATGAATTTTTGGTAATTTGGGGAGGTTTTCTCACTTGATTGTTCAACCTCTCAACGAGAGCACCATATGATGGATAATTGATACCCGTATTGTATAAACAGGAGAGATTGAACAAGAATGGAGAAGATATAAAGAAAGTGTATAGAATGAATGAATATTGGTTATCTCAGTTACAAGCCTCCTATAAGGAGTATATATAGGGAAAATCCGGGTCTGGGCCTCTAATATGGGCCTGACAGACCCGGTTACATAAATGGACTGATAGTATAAAAAGCTAATCTAGAACATCTGAATAATAATATACAATAATAAGAACCCTTAAAACGTGTGTGAGCCGCTGTCCAGGCCTAGTAGTCGGCATACCGGGGGGTCGGAGTCCATATAATCCATCAGGAGTAAAAACTTCAATATGCAAATAATGTAAATATGCACACTATGAACTTCAATATGCAATACAAATAATATGCATGCAACACTTTGAACTTCAATATGCAAATACAAATAATGTAAAGATGCACAGTTTGTGACAGTTTGTGACAGTTTGTAGGTTGGCGTGAGAGGACTAGTTTGTATGCGATCTCACCTATATATATTATATATATAGATTTAGGATTAAGTGAGAAATTGTTGACCGATCAAGATATATTAATTAATGTTTCTTAATATTATTCTTTCTAGTTAGTTATTCCGTGGGTGGACTCTAGTTTGGTATAGACTTGTAAACTCACCTAGTTGAGTTAGTCTAGGATTTTAATCGTTGATGGTGATTGGTTTGCAACATACACTGCTCTATATTTGTAATAATCAAACAAAGGGGCAGAGAGCACTTTTCAATAGATAAAATAAATAGATTATTTCTTCCATTATGGTGTCAGAGCCTTTGCTTAGGTAAGCGACAATTTGAAGAATGATGACCCAAGAGAAAGATATTGATGAAGGCAGTGCCAAATCCTCAGGACTAAAGATCGATCATGCTTCACCCTTCTTTCTTGGGCCACAAGATCGACCAGGGGAATTTATAACTCCTGTGTGTGTTAATGGTGAAAATTATGACGGATGGGCTGGTTTAGTTAGATTGGCGCTCCGGGCACGTCGTAAGTTTGATTCTGTTGATGGTACAAAACTTTCATACAACGATCAACGTAAGGAGGATGATTGGCTAACTATCCATTCAATGATTGTGTCATGGCTAATGAGTACAATCACACTAGAAGTGAAGCATACACTTTCCCATTATGATGACGTGAAACTGTTATGGGATGATCTTAAAGAATGATTTTTTGTTGTTGATGGTCCACGGATTCATCAACTGAATGTCAATATTGCGAGATGTGAACAATTATCATCCATATCCGTAGAAACTTATCATGGAAGATTGAAAACATGGTGGGATGAGCTTAATAATTACGAACCTTTGCTTACATTCACATGTGGTAAATGTACAAGTAAGCTTGGGGGATGACATGCACAACCACAACAAAACGAGAGGTTTCTTCAATTTTTGATGGGCCTCTCTCACGAATTGTATGGGCAGATTCGCTCAACGTTGCTTTCTCAACAACCTTTACCCAATCTCAATAGAGCCTATCATCAAGTGGTGCAAGAGGAACATGTGAGGGGAGCAACACAACACAAGGAAGAGAAACCTGAAGTATGGGTTTTGCAGCAAAAGAAACTGGACATGGTTAAGGTAAAACTCAGAAAACTGACAAGTTTGGGATGATTTGTTCACACTCTAGTTTTCCGGGCCATGAAGCGATCGAAGTTCTCCAACTGATAGGTTATCCAAAGTAGTGGGGAGACCATCCACAAGGAAACATCAAAGGGACAGGACGCGACAAAGCTGGAATTGGGCATGGCCGCATGGGAATCACGTTGTCAAAGCTCATGCAACTCCTGCCAATGAATTGATCACACAAACACATCAGGACCAGCGAAGTGGGAATCCAGGTCCAATGTCATCTTCTGCACTTCCAGGTTTCACCATCGAATAATGGAAGGCACTGACTGTAGCCTTTGGTAACACTCAATCATCTAATGAGCATTTGAATTGTAAGTTTAATCCTTCATTATGAGTATGGCTTTGGAGAGACCAAAGTGGAGGGTACATATTCATATGGACGGTTATCCCTTTCCTCTCTTTTCTCACTCTTGTTTTCTTTTATCTTGTTTATCTTTCTATGTTCTTGTGTTATTTCTATCTTTTATCTTTATGATCTTTTATCTTTTTATCTTTCTTATGTTTTTATGTTATTTTTATCTTATATCTATCTTTATATTATTCATTTTATCTTACCTTATCTTTTTATTTTTCTTATCTCTCATTAACTTTTTGGCGGGGATATCATGGATCGATTCACGTTAGCCGACATTAAAATCTTTTGGGCATAAGACTTGGATGTTGTTGTTGTTGTTTTCCTCTTCCTTCATATTTTTTCCAAACAAATTTCTCCTACTAATATACATATGCCTTTCCGTATAAACCCTATGGATTTCTAAGCCTTGGGAAGTTGGGAGTACCCAATTTCTAAACATTTCTATTTCTATTTCTATATTTAAATAGTCTGCATAAAAAAGGAGTTGGATGAGTGTATCCAGAGTTAACAAGGATTACCTGTTCAGACTAAGGTGCTCCAGAATCAATAGTATTACTAGCAACTTTCCCAATTATATCATCATCTTTTGCTTCAAGAACAATTCTGGAGACACATTAATTAGGATAAACATCATGTAAATGAATTGCATCATTTTACAAGGCTCATGTTTATTAGAAACAGCCAGTTTGTACATAATTTTACCCACCATCAACAATTTTCGTCTAAGGCACAAAAGAATAAGATCCAAATTCTCAAGCGCCTCTCTCCTATCAACGATGCCCCTAATTAAAATGTGCATTTGCAATGAGATGAGCTCTTAATACAAACATACACTTTAAAGGTATTTTCTGGCATTGAAACTACCTTAGTAGAATTGCAACAACATCGAAGAATGCATGAAGAACTGTGGCGAGTATGAGCTCAATCTCATTTTCACCCTCAGTGACAAAGAAATGAAGGTCTTGAATGAATTTGTAAACATCAATGTTGTTTTCAAACATCGTTATCTCAACAACAACAAAAAATTAGGAGTTAGAATTGTCAGATTGAATCTATGTTCAAAATTTTATTGTGCAGAACTCATGAATCATATATAGCTCTTTCAAAACTCCAGTCCGCTCTTTCAAAACTCTAGTCAAGTTACCCTCGATGACTGACAGGCACATATGCACAACCATAATCCTTTACACACCGTCAAAGTTAGTGTTATTAATGGCTGATGCCCAAATCCGTCCGCTATATAGTGCCACCATAGAGGCAAAAAAATAGCACACCATGCTATTAGGCTAATATCACACCATGCTATTAGCCTCAACATTCCTCCATGGCCACCATTTAACAACACCGGTCAATAGAACATTAATCTCATACCGGAGCTCATTAACATATAAATAACATCAAAATGCCACATCAGCTATAGAATAGATATTATACACTACTCCGATATAAATATCATTGTATATACAAAACATTGGCACGATTTCCTGAAATAATCTCTTTTCTTGATTCACATTTGTGTTGTGCCAAACTACTCTCCCTCTCTTTAGATTCTATTATGGTAGTAAAGCCGTGATCGGCAACCATGCCACACTCATACACCACTGCTATCTCCACCGGCTTAGGAAGTGCTAACACCACAAACAACTCAGATGACCTTACGAGTCCTTTCTATCTCCATGTTGGAGAAAATCCTAAGCTAGGTCTGGTTTCAGCACCATTAACGGTAAAGAATTATCACTCATGAAGATGGCGCTGATAATAAAGAATAAATTCATGTTTGTATATGGATCAATCACTCCTTCAACATTCTTCTTCTTTGTTGTAGGTTAATTTGAATATTAGTTCTAATTTACTTTATAATTGCATTGAACCGCGAGAGCTAAGATTTAACTCATATTAATTAAGTTGTAAAACTGCACAAATATAATAGAACAAAAAGTCATATACACTACGCTACTAGAAATTAGTTGTCGTTAATGATTTCTAAGACATTAATATTTTTTTAAACTCGGAAGGTCAACCACCAAAATTAGTGGGGCAAATACCGGGGAACATTTGCCATTATTTTATTAGTAATAAATGAAAGGTACAATTGGAAAGGGGGACGAGGCCAAAACCTTTCCAGAAGAGGCATGCCTCTTCGAAATACATGAATAAAATAAATAGAAACATATACTGGAAGAAAAAGCAAGTGAAAAAATTGGGGGGACTATACCTTACCCAATTTTAAAAAATAAGGGCAAAACAAAAAAGGAAGCCAAATTAAGCCAAATTAGGAAACCCTAATGCTAGGGAGACCAACAACGTCTAAATGGATAGCCCCTCTGACCCGATTAGGCAACTGAGCAACCTGATAATAGATGAGAGGAAATCTAGCTCCAATAGCGATCTGAGCAAGACGATGAGCAACCTCGTTAGCTTTCTTGTAACAATGGCCGAATGTGATCGAAAACTGATGAGCTGCATCTCTGAGAGGCTGAACGAGATGCCTATAGCTATCGCTAACTAAAGGGCGTCGGGGAAGAGAAATAGCCGCGAGGGAGTCGGACTCAACTTCTACACCAAAAAAGCCAGCTTCTACAATCCAATGATATACCAAAATATAACACAAATTATCTAAAAAGAAGAAATAACAATATTTATATAAACACATACATTTAGGTACATTTAGGGTCATGTATTTTTAGGTTCTCAAAATCAAGTACATATTCCGTAATATTCCGTACTATTTGGGTTCGGGATGAAAATATATGGAACCATTAAATACATGGTTTCTGTAAGCCGCCGGTTGAGTATCGAGCGTGTAGCTTCCCTGTTGCCTCTGTGGGCTCGCAGGAACCAGCGAATTATCACAGGAATCGTCTCTGCCGACATTTGCAGACTACAAAGGCCGTACTTCTTCTCCTAGCTACATCTTGTCTCGGCGTATCCCGGCCTTCGAACCTCGTATCCGATCAACCCTCCACGTGATCTGATATGGTTTGTTTGAGTTGATAATGTTAGGATCTTAACGAAGTTTGAATTCCTCATTACGAAAGGTTGGTGAAATTTCCTCTGCTTATTTTCAGGCGGATCCTGAATTAGAAGCACTCCGGCAAAGGAGAATGCAGGAGCTGATGGCTCAAAGCGGAGCTGTAAGAGCAATTTCCAATATGCAAATCCTGTTGATTAATGATATGCATAGTTACTCGATAGAACACACACGAATTATATGCTTATAATAATTTTTTTCCTCAAATAGGGAAACCTTCAAAACCGAGATCAACAAAAGACACAAGATGAAAATAAAAGGTACTGCACTAATCTTGCTGTAGCTTTTCAATCAAGTTCCTAGATGATATTTCCTTTCATTATAAATCAAACTTTATTAACTTTGCACTTTAGAGAGGAGGCCGAGGAGCAAAGGCAAATGATGCTCAGTCAGATTATGACTTCAGAAGCAAGGGGAAGAGGCAAGTGAATTTAATATTACTCCTCTCCATTTGTGCCTAATTTGTAATTTGGTGAAACTTCTCGCGTTCTACAAAAGTGACAGGGTTCAATACCCAATCGTCCCTCTCAGATGTGTTGTATGGAGGATTCTTTCGTTCATAGTTTCAAATCTTTAAAGGTAAGTTTAATTGTAGCTATGTTTTCCCTATTAGGAACATGGTTTGCGCCATGTTTTAGCCCTTCCGAAGGGGAGTGTATTAAATTGTTCATGAGGGTCTGCTGAAAATAGTGATGCATCAAATTTTGACCAAACAAAATGTCAAGTAGTAGAATTTGGTGAATCAAGATCGCATCTTGAGCCTTATCATCATATCATGGTCTTCATCTATCTCTCTTACTTGACTGGTACATTTGCACATATCCTTTCAGAAGAAATAGGAAATCATCAACTTGTGAACTGAGCACCTCTTTTTGTGCCCTTTAAATGTCTCCATAATTTCTTTAAGCAATAAGAAGTTCAGTAATATTTTGTATATTATTGTGTGCCTGTCCACAAGCTCCGTGCAATTAATTGGAGCCACTTACATGAAAACTCAGGCCCCGTCCAATCTATTCAGGGCCATATGTTTCCTGAACATTGTGATATACTTTTCACAATATAAAATTCAGTTTTATTATTTCTGTCGTGGAATCTTCTGATGTAAGAATCTCTACAGGGGTTTAGTTGATTCTGTGTGCTCATAACTGCATACTGAAGTAGCTCTTTCAATTTGGTCTCATAATTATGGTTTCTCCTTAATAACATATGTGAGTGAGTATTGAGTAATGCTAAGAATATAGTAGTTTTATCTATGGGCTTGAAAGATTGGTTAGCTACCACTCAAGCACTCCAAGTTTAAAGATGAAATTTATCAATTAACTATTATTCTTTTGATCTAAAAATTAAAAAAACATGAGTTTAGTTTTCATTTTAATTAATTTATATTAATTATCAACAAAAATCCTTTCACGAATTATATATTACATTATATAGAGGTCTTTTTTTCCATCATTTGCAATGGAGCCAAAGATTCATTATTTTTTGGCTTGAGAATATGATGGAATAAAGCAATATGGCTCACTAAACTGTCTGTGCTTCTTTGTTATGAAGTAGCAGTCAGCCCATGCAATTTTGGACGCGATTTTCACTATGGGTCATCCGGAAACAGTCTCTCTGTGCTTTAGTACAGACTACAGAGGTAAGACTGTGTACATCTGACCCCCTTACCCCACCGTAGGTGGGAGCCTTTGCGGCACTGGGGTAAATGAAAATGTATTATATAGAGGTCTTTAATTTTCATTGAAATCATCGTATTATAATCATTGATGACCTAAATTGGTAGTCTTAGATACGAAATTGATAAACATCCTATATCTTGGTTTATCTTGGTATATATGCGTTAGGATTTCTATGTGATCGAGGTATGTCAGACAATAATTAGGCTTGCATTGTTGTATGGAACAGAATATTGGACATATATAAATATTCTTTTTATCCTTTTTATCATATCATTTTTTTCGTTATCTTATACTATGTATTTTGCTTGTGCGATGCACTGGAGGAAAATTTTAAACCGATTGTTGAGAATATAAGTACTATCTCCGTCTCGGCTTAAGCTTTTCATTGAAAAATGAAACAATAATTTAGACAATAATTTAATACGGTAATTCAAGTATATTTTCAGAAGTAATTTTGATTGCGATATTACATAATGAAGTCATTGATGGTAACTGTGATCTTATAAGTGTATTATTTTTAATATTTGATGATTATTCATTTAAGAGTGCTAACTATTTCCTAAAATAGAAATAAGAAGCTCTAGCTGGGACGTCCAAAAAATGAAAGTGAGAAGTTTAAGCTGGGACAGAATGAGTAGTAACTATAAAAAATTCCAGATATGTCACTTCAAATGAATGTGTAATATAGATATTTAATTGACAAATATAACTATCATTGTATTTAAAATTGACCCACTTCAAATCAAATAGGATATAATCATATAACTCCCCTAACATTACAAAATCACTGTTGATTAATAGAAAAAATATTGAAACTTTTGGTTCCTAAGGAGATAACTTTTACCTCCGTCCCATTGTATGTGTCTTATTTTGGTTTGGCACAATTATTGATGAAGTAATTGAAAAAGTAAAAGTTGTAGTTGAGATTTGATTATAATAAAGTGAAATATTGTGGATTACATATTTCTTTCACAAAAGGAAATGTGACACTTATTTTGGGACAATCCCAAAAGGAAAGTAAGACAGGTAAAATGGGACGGAGGGAGTATTTCTCTCACCTTAGATGTCAAACCTCATATTTACTATAGTTTAGTTGACAAATACTTTTACCAAACTGAGTTTTGCCCGCTGCGAAAAATACAAAGCTGCTCACCGTTATTGAATGACTAAGCCATCAACACATTTCTCGGAGTTTAATTTTTTTGGTCTTTAGTTTTCCTGTCACTTCATATTATGAATAATTTGTAATTACAGAATAAATTGAAATTTCACAACGAATGATACCTATTTTATGGGAACTTCTTCTCAAAATCTTAAACTTATTTAATTTCATGCTAAATATGTTGCTTGTAATTAAGATTTATAAAATTGGGTTATTCTTGGAGTACATTTAAAAAAAAAAATCAAATTGCTTATATGTAGTTTCTTCTTCCACACTGTCATTTGGTCCATCATTACATGGCAGAATTTTAGTTGCCTATGTACATACACAAACTCATTAGGAAAACAAACATAAAGAAAATATGAGAAAATTTAAAGCGAGAGTTTTACCTCCATGGCAAATACATTCTATAGATGATTTTACTATGAATGCACAGGAAACATTTGAGCTGCTAAGTGGAGTTGCTTGTATTGATTACCTAAATCATACTCTACATGCCATAAGTCAGGAAATATCTCTTTTGTTCATAAAAAGACTTCGAGTGTTTTCTGGAATTTTGGTGGGATTACCTGCCTACAATGAATCATATTTGTCTAGGAAATTTTCACCCTGACAAGAATAATGTGCAGCAAAACATCAAGAGATAGGATGTGTTATTCTAAAGTTTGTGGATGCTGATATGCTGTTGCCTGCTATTGTTGAGTATGTATTTCAGCACAACTATTTATATACATACTCTTACTAAATTCAAAAATGGAAAATGGATTGCCAACGGTGTTATATGCACTGAGAAACTAAAACGACAGAACTTGTTGGACAAAGCAATCCTCGGAAGCATAAATTAGTAGTAATAAATTTTCTGGAACCTTCTCTGAATGCTATATGGTGTAATACTATTCTTCAAGGGCTGATTGAGCATCACATGGCTGCAAATATTTCCCTGCACATTTTTTGGCGCCAAGTCGCCAACTTCCTCACCAAGAAACCTTTTGCTATTATATTAAGGCAGATTTATCTTAATCTTTATATTATTCTTTTTATCTTTTTATCTTATATTTTTATCCTTTTTATCTTTCTTATATCTCTTTTCTTTTTGGCTCCGATATCATATACTAGTATCAATTTATGTTAGCCGACTCCAAAGTATTTTGAGACTAAGGCTTGGATGTTGTTGTTGTTTACCAATCATGCATCTTTGGTATAGCTATGAACTCCTTTCCATAAGGAGGAACATATTCCTCAAGAGTGGAACATGAATATAGATTCCATATATTTTTATGCTATGTTATGAAGTTCATATAGTGTGCTTCCTCCAATCTCCATCCCTATTTTAGTATTTTGTGTCTTACTCATGCAATGAGGCAAGACTCAAAATTTTAATTTTCTTTGGTAATTTACTACAAGTCATAATTACTTAAACTTATATACTTATAAACTACAATTTACTTAAAAAGTTATATTTAAAAAAATCATTTGACAGTTTTATTATGGGGAATTTTGAGTTTGCACCCCACTTTTTAGGTGATATTGGACTTTGCACCCCATTTTCAAAACTTCTAGACTTTGCACCCTATCTACAACATTTTGTGAAGAAAATTCTTAAATGGGGTGCAAAGGCAAAGACATTTTAGGGGAATTAGGGTGCAAAGTCTAAATTTTTTGAAAATGGGGTGCAAAGTCCAATATTACCCAAAAGACGGGGTGCAACGTCAAAATATCCCTTATTATGTACGGATACTCCATGTTAAAGGAAATAAGCAATGGAAGATGTCAACCGTTGTATATTGGATGATAATTTTGACAAGTGAAGTGAGACAAATAGAGTAACATAATATCCAATGTCATCAAATATGTTCCAAAATGAAGCTACAAGCTAAAATTTCTCGTTTCATAAAGCTATTTCACTTAAAGGCAAATGTTTGGTTTAAGGATCACAAAAGACAAATTCAAGGCTAACAGGGTAGACACAATATTTTGATTTCGTAGCTGCAACTAAGATTTTGTTTTTTTATTTGATGGTGTTTGGTGTGGTGGTTGTAGCACTTGTGGTATACTTAGTAAGGGTCTGTTTGGGTGGAGGGTTTTGGAAGGGAAGACTCCAAAGCTTAGTCTATTTCTTGATACACACACACACACACACACACACAAACACATATTTGTGATTATAAAATCTGAGGGCTTACATATATGTGATTGTGTGACATTCAAATCACCTTTTATTCGTATTTAGAGATGTTCTATTCATGTGCGGTTGGTAAAAGGACAAAGAATGGCCAGCTTTTGGGTTTAGAGCCTGGGGGATGACTCATGAGTAATAGGCTAACGGTTGGAAGAACCTTGTTGAACAATTCAACAATGTCAAATGCTTGAATTCTCAAGAGGCTATGGCCATCTTGTCCATCATACTTTGCTCTCACTTCTAATTCTTGTATCTGTGCTTGTTTGGACAAAATTGGGTGGTGGTCCAGTTGCCCGAATTGCGCTAGTGAAGCCCGAAAAGGCCAGAGGAATTGAAGATCTAATACTCAGAGCTGCTCAAGTTGGTCAGATTAAGGAGAAGGTAGTTTTCATTTCCAATTACCTCTGCATTGATTATCTAATAATGTACCCCTGCATATAAAAAAAAATACTTGTTCTTGTATGTAATACACTAATACTGCTTTGGCCTTTTGGATCATAGAAGCATGACCAGTTTTTGGTATGGAGGTAGTAAAATACTAAAATTTATATGCGTTGTTTAATATCAGACTCGACTACTACTTATACTTAATCCAAACTTAATTTTAAAAATAAAATATGCGGAGTAATATAATGTTATAATGAAGGAACAAACCTGCCTACCTTTATACAAAAAACTAAAAACCGACCCACTCCACACTTCTTATAAGCATATCGTTTATGCTATAATAAAATCTCTCTGCTTTTTGGAACTTAGGACCCGTTCTTCTTTTCTTATGAAAAGTTTTGATCTGATGCTTTTTTAGATATGCTATGGTCTCTTCCGAGTATTTCTGTTCTGGTATGAATGTTTCTAGGTTGAATCATTCTTAATGTGCCTGATGTAACATATTTTTCTTGTCTAAAATATAACTTGTAGTGTAGTCTGGTATGGTATAATATTAACCCTTCTGGTTTGTTCCGATCCGATCATTTATGACCTGATCTCATCTTAGCGATAACAGAAAAGCGTGAGGTTAACAGAACAGTACCTTAATAGGTAGGCCGTTTGTTGTAACTTTGTTCTTCGTTCTAACTTATTATTTTTGAACATTGTGCCATATGCCACTGATCTTGTAGGTGTCTGAAGAAAGGCTCATACAGTTGCTGGAGCAGATTAACACTCAAGGCACTAGACAAACGAAAGTAACAGTAAGCTTCTATTCCCTGGTCATCTTCAATTTTGATTTGTAATATATTGGTCTGATTGTCGGTTTCTTATCTGTTGTTCTGTATTGATTATTTATCAGATCCAAAGGCGTAGGAGCGTTCTTGAGGATGATGATTAGTTCCAAGCGCCCTGTTTCAGTATTTGATTATTGTAGTAATTTAGCCTATGCTTAATCATCTATGGCTTACCTTTGTGCTTGGTCTGTCACTGTGTTCGCGTAGTGTTAGCCTATACAAAACTCATCTTACTACGAGTTTTGTATTTGGATCTTTTGGTTGTTTGAAATCTGAAGATATTGTCAGAAACAATGATTAAAATAAAAAAATAGACTGAAACCATGCTCTTATTATAGCTACATGTCTTGGATTTTGACATTACTAACATGTTTTTTTCTTCAAGAAACACGATTTTATTCAATAAATAAAGTAAAAATTACAGTGCAAGAAGATAAGTGAAAGAAAAAACGAGCACAAAAGAAAGGAAAAGAAAAAAAAACATAAAAGATAAAAACACAAAAGATAAAATTACTAACATATTTATAAATATCAATTTATGAATACGAAAGTCATGAATCGTTTGTTTGTCAATGTATAAATACATGTGACAGACTCCTTTCCCAACATGTCCGAGTAGGGCAGACTTACCAGCGCAGGGCTAGGGGTGGCCCGGGCCGGGGAGTCTATCGGTACCGGGCCGGTTCAGTTTAATTTTGTTTTTTTTTTGTTTTTTTTGGGTTTTCTTATTTATTCCAACCCCCAAAACCCCACGAAAACACCCAGCCCAAACCCAAAACAACCCAAAAAAAAAAGTTCGGACAGGGCCCGGACCGGGCGGGTCAGTCCCCAAATATCTAACCCCGGACCCGCCCCCTTATTCCCCCCGGTTTGGGCCCTAGGCCCGGCACCGGAACCGATTCTCCGGTCCGATCGGACTGGACTCGGGCCATGCCTACGCAGGGCGCCTATTCTGACTATAGACAAACAATAGCTGGTTTTAAACTTTTGATTGTTTTTGTATTGGTTAAGGATTGTAATTGTAGCAATAGGCCTATAGACAAGCATTCCAGTTCTTTATCCGCTTGGTCCTTGGAGTAGGCCGGGATAGGCATGGACCAGTTCCGGTCTAACCGCCCCGGCCCGCCACTGTGCGGGCCCGGCCCGGCCCGGCCCGGCCCGGTGAACCGGCTCGGGAACCGGGCCTAGGACCGGGCCGAGGTGTTAGGGCGGGGCGGTTTCGGGCTTGCCCTTCCTTTGGTACCGGCCTGGCCCGATTCGGGCCTATAATTTTTTTTTTGTTCTTTCATTTTTTTGGTTGTAGGCGGGTTGGGCTGGGTGTTTTGGGCGGTGGGGGTTAATTAAAAAAGCAAAAAAAAAAAAAAAAACGGTTCGAGACCTGCCCGGACCGGACCCGATGGAATCCCGGGCCGGTTCCGGGCCTTCACCCAACAATAAAACCCCGATTTGGACTGGCCCGGGGCCCGGTCCGTCCCAGAACCGGTCCATGCCTAGGTCGGGACGGTTTGGTTTGGGAACCGGGACCAGGTCCACCTTGAACACGAGGAAATCAAGTCTCATACCAACAAAATGGTCATTTATAAATAGTAATGCATATTCCAAAAAAAAGTATATTAGTCAGGTATTTTTTTTTTGATCGTCAAAATGGCTTTAGATTAATAAAATAGCATTCAGCAGGGGTACAGGATAACAAAAGAACCACATGTAACCATCCGCCCTTGATCGAGACTCTGAGTTAATCACCTTTGACAAAGCAATATAACTCGCTAGTCAGGTATTTATTTATTTTTAGTTTATATTATTAGTATTGTTTTTATTAACGCATCACACACGCACTATACAATATTAAATATTATAAATATCTCTATTTTGGATATTTTTGTGTTTATATTTTTTAGAAAATAATCTAAATATTTCAAAGTTTGAAGAAGTGTGAGACAAGTACTCCAAACTTGCACATGTAATATGTAGCTCAATCTTAATATATTTAGATAAGGGTAAGTATATATACCATCCAAAAGAGTTTATTTACATAAAAAAAAAATAGGGAACAAAAATAGTGGTTATCCCAAGAAAGGATAACACATCACCGCAATACCTATACATAATAATCACACATGGCCGAACACAAAAATAGGTGATGAGCCTGAATCTAATGCACCAAAGTATCAAAAGGTCATGAGCTCATGTGGATAAATGTTGTAAAGGATCTTATGCACCATGTATTTTATCCTAGCAAAAACTTCATCCTCTTTCAATGTGGCATCATCAAATAAGGTTGCATTTCTAGTTCTCCATATCCAATAGACGGTATAGATGAAGGCAATCCGGTCTGCTTTAGCTTTGATTCCCGCTCCTCCATGGTCTCTCTTGATCCATTTCACTGAGTTGTCGAGTGTAGTCATCTGTTTATGCCAATCTTTATATAAAAAGTTATGGTAGCACCATGATTATATGTTTTTTCACAAATGTAATTTTATGGTGTTAAGTACATAATTTAATATACAATTATACACAAAGCACTTATGACGACACAATTAAAATTAGATTGTACCAAATTAATACTCCCTCCGTCCCACTATGATTGTCCCATTTTACCATTTCGGTCCGTCCCACTAAGATTGTCTCATACCTTATTTGGTAAAGTTTTTGTGGTTCTAAATTATTTCTACTTTTATTAATTCAATATCAACCACATAAACTCACTTTTATTAATAACCGTACCACCTTCTCTTGTCCCAAACTTAGGGGGACAGAGGTAGTATTATTTATTTCATAAATGAAATATTAGAATGTTAATTGCATCCAAATAAAGCTTATATTATTTTAAATTATGCACTTATTGCATTAAATTTGTATTTGTAAACAACATATAATCATGGTGCGGAAATAATTTTTTTATATAAAGTTTGAGGTATATATATTACATATGCAAGTTCAGGGTATTTATGTCACACTCCTTCAAAGTTTGGGGCACTTATATGATTTCCCCTTTATATTCTAGGATGTTTCTAATTGGGTTGAATTTTATGGTTTGGTCTGTTTAAGTCTGGTATGGTCTAAACTAGCCTGATAAATGTTTGGCCAATATGTATTTTATAATTGTCGAAAACTGGTCTGATTTAATTTGTTTAAGTCTGATTTAGTATAGATTGGTCTATTTAAGTCTGGTCTGTATGTATCATTTGTTGGGCTAATCACGGAAAGCCGAGGATAATCAACGAAGCCGAGGGTACTGGTCAACACCTTCGGCCTCGATACTCCGCGATATACTTGACCAAAATTAACACTTCAGTAGAAATATAAGAGCGGTGTCATTTCACCTGCACCGACACCCTACACTCTTACGTCATCTTGTCATCTTTACGTCACAATGATGCATACGTCATCTTGTCATCTTTACGTCACAATGATGCATACCCTCATACAACTAGAGACAACTATATGCTTATTAGGATGCTTGTACTTAGACGGGTTTGAGTCTCAAACTAGATTAAACTTCGACAATTGTAATATAAATATAGATCATACGTTTACCATAACCAATCACATAAAATTATACCAAGCTAGAAAAAAATAATAGTCCAATTAAAAACATCTTAGTGCCTTATGTATAGTTTACTTCCCAATATTTCATACCGCTATAAATAGCTCTTTCCGGCTTGTAGAGAAGGTTACAAAATTGTGTATTATTTTCATTATAGTGGAGTTTCCCTCTCTCGAACTTTCGTGTTACTCCTTACTCGATTTTCCCAAACATAGGGGGCGGAGGTAGTAATTTTAAGTAGTTCCATCGATTTTTAATTAAGCTCAATGAAATCCAAAAAGTAATAATATCCCATACATTTAAAATATTTAGAAAAAAGAATTTAAAAACACCAAATTTTAAAAATGTTCGGGAATAAAAGATGTGTAGCATGAGTAGTGCCATAGACAATTAAAAGCAAAAGATTCTTTTTAAGCTTACAGTGTTTGCGTTCACTTAAATAAAAGGCTTTTCAGGTTTTAGCTTAAAAAAGCTGGAAAGAGTGTTTTTAAATGACAGCTTCTGCTTAAATTAATCACTTTAAAGCTAAAAGCTGGAAATAGGTGGATAGTGCTTTAAACTGCTTTCCGCTTTTTCTATTACACAAAAAACACTTGTTTTACCAAGCACTATCAACTTTTACTTTTTCAGAATCACTTTTTTCTCAAACATTACCAACTTTTACTATTAAATACTTTCTCCAAAATCACTTTAAAAAAATCATTTTTTAAAGTAGAAGCAATCGCAAACACTCTCTTGCACGTTATACATTTATGTGTAATACAGAGTAAAAAAAGATGAAGGGTCAATGTGTTCATAGAAGTTAGATTAAAGAGGTGTTTACTTCGCTGCTAAAGTCACAGTTAGGTTAGTAAGACAGGTAAAATAAACACGCGAGCTGCTTAAAAAGTTGCTTAATAACATAAAGAAGTGCTTAAAGTGCCGCTTACTAAGCATACCACCTCTCGTGTATTAATTAAGCGACATTTTTTAGGCATTTTCAGTTTCTGAATTTACCCTTACATACCCTACCCCTTGCCCTTACCCTATTGTTACCCCTCTACTCGCTACCCCCCTCTACCCTACCTTACCCTGACCCCACCCCCGACCACACCCTACCCATTCTACCCCCACCCTACCCCATACCCCAACCCCACCTCACTCTCGTACCCCTTTACCTCATACCACATGCTCCTACCTCGGCCCCACCCCGACCCCCAACCCGTAACCACTAACCCTACCCCTTTACCCCCTACCACCTTCCCTTACCTCGACCCCACCCGACTCCACCCATCCTACACCTACCCCGGCCATACCCTACCCACCCCCTTACTCCCTACCACTTTCCCCTATCTCAACCCCACATGTACCCCCTTCCATACCCCAACCCTACCCATTTACCCCCTACCACCTTTCCCTACCTCGACCCCATCCTGACCATACCCCCTTTCCCTACCCCTTTACCCCTAGCACTTGCCCCTATCTTGACCCCACCCCTACCTCATCCCCCCAACCCCGACCATACCCTTACCCCACCCCCATGTACCCCTTTCCTTACCCCTTTTACCCCCTATGACCTGCCCCACACCTTGACCCCACCCTACCCCATCCCTCAAAATCCCACCCTCCCCTAACCCTTACTACCCTACTAACCTACCTTTACTACTCAAAAGTAGGTAGATTAAGAATAGTGAAAGAGGACAGAATTATTGAGGGTATGACAGGAAGATAGTGGAATAATGTGATGGAATGTAAGATAAATCCAAAAAAGTAGTTGTAATAGTGTATTATTTTCAGAATTACTGAGGGTAT